TTTGCGCAAAATTCAAAACAAACCAAACCAAACGTTTACTTTAAAATAATTACTTGTAACTCTGTTGTTATGAACAAAACTATACAATCATAAAATATCTACTCATGAAATCAATCAATCAATAACATATACACTAAATAGTATTTTCTATCATGACAACAGCCTTACGATAAAGTCTTTTGCAACGGAAATCACGCTGTAGGACTACTGTCAAGAAGCACGTTCATTAGATAGAGCATGAATGGGCGTGGTAATATGAACTTTAACAATATAGTAAGGTTCCAAAATCGGTTTAATATAACATACTCGACGTCTGTATTACTCTACACGTGCATGACGATTTGCTTATTTTCAGTTGTGATTGTAATTTAGAAACATGTTCATGATAGTTCTATACTCTAAAATAAAACAAATCTTTTTTTTTTTAAGATGAAATTGTTCTTCGTGCTGCTTACCTCTGCTTTTATTTGTGGACCCAGCACCAGTCAGTGTAAGTGAAGAAGAAAAAAATGAATTTCATTAATTATTTCAGAATAATCAGTAATAACGTTTTTTGTACGTATAGTTTTTATTAACGATGTGTTTCTATGGTTTTATGGAATATCGTTTGTTTCTTTTCGAGGAAAGCCACATTGGACTATCTGCTGTGTTCTGGGGAATCGAACCCCCGATGTTAGCGGTGAAAGTCCGTAGACTTCCCGCTGTACCATCGAGGAGCTTGGCATATTGTGTGCCTGCCAGTATTTTGAAGCACAAATTCTCGTGCTAAAAAAATGTTGAAAGATAGTGTAATTCTCTACTTTATTTTTTAATTAAAGTTTCATTCTTTAAAAAATAACCTATTAATATAATCTAAAATATTTCTTAAAATTATGTTTCATTTCATCAGTGGACACTGTAAAGTTAAAGATAGGTCTCCATTGTAGCAAATAATTAATCATCGTCCATTCATTGGTGAGACGAAATTTGAAATGTATGTTTATGTACTTATACATACATTTCAAAATTCGTGATTTGTTTTGTCTATTGAAGAAAATCCAAAACAAGTTATAAGTATACCTGTGGCCGAGAAGTTGTGAGATCCGAGGTTTATTGTTGTGGTCGAGATCAAAAGGTTTAAATGTGTTTTCCTATAGGACATTTCACGCAGAATTCGATAATGATAGTCTTAGTTGTGCCTACCTGTGCAGAGGCCATAAATAACCTCTTAAAAGTATACCAAGGTGAAGTTTAAAAGTCCGAAATCTGAAATAGGGGTAGGACTACACACACTGCTGCTGGCTTTTCTGAAATTTATATAATACCTAATGTATTTTGGATTTTAATCACCCACAAAAAAGCAAAGTTTTAAAACAGAAAACATTTGCTAGCTGAACTAAAGATCAATTGGTGCTATTAGAATAGAATAGAAGGTAAACTAAGCGTAAAAAATATGACGAAATTTCAGCCCAGTTTTAATACTTTTTTTTTACTATATAAATTAATAATGTAAAGTTGTTTTTGTTTAATAAAAGTATTGTGGGTACTATAATATATTGATTAACAAGTTTTAATTGTTATGCGAGTGAAATTATAAGTTCGATATAAACTTTACGTTGTGAGTAAAATTTTATCAAAAGTGAAACAATCTAAAGCACACTCGCAGCCTACCAATTCTAAACGGAACTACGAAAATGTTAATAATGAATTTAACGAAATGTTTTAACAAATTCCAATGAAATACTTGACAAATTAAAAACCACATTTCAGTTCACATTCCTTTGTTGGGAATAAGACAAAGGTCAGCAAAATACAGAATGTAGCAAATACCTAAAGCGAATGCTACCAATAGAACTTTCCAAGAACAAACAGTATATAAAAGCATTTATGAGGAACTTCTAAAAGGTATTCTGGATAATGTTATTGTAATTTAAAGAAGACGGGCATTTTATGATCATATTAAATCCTGTGCAATTATCTGATGTTCACAACATACTTCCTTAATGGGTAGTAGTATATTCAAAAACGAATAGGCAGACAAATTTATAAGTTTAGAAACAAGTTCCAGAAAATTATAATAGGGCCCAAAATGTAAGGATTGTATTTATGTGTTTGTCTAAAGTATTTGAACGAGAATCACTAGGTTTAGTTCATGAAGCTAGATCTGATACTTTGTTAACAGACCTTGCTTTGCAATCTTTAAATATTTTTCCTTATTTGAGGATGCTTCGACTTCATAGCCTATCCTCAGGAGGTGGTACAATCGAATCGTCAAAGGAGTGAACATTTGAACTGTCAACATGAAGAGGCAGATACTAGAATAGTTTGACACCTGCGATACTTCTGCCAAGATTTTGTACTTCTAAATGTCACTGTACAGATATCGATGTCCTTGTTGTTCTCCTCATACAATTTCGGCAAACTGGAAGCATTTGTGTGGATTGGTGATGGTCAAGGTAATAACAAAGTAGGAGATAAATCGATGTAACCCAGCTGTGTGGCAAATTAGGTAATTATCTTTACGCTGCATTATCTGCAATTTATACGTTTACAGGCTTTGAGTCCACTGCAGCATTCATCCATAAAGGCAAAGAAACCTTTAGAAACTGTGAAAAAATCCTCTCGTTATCTTAAGGCTTTTGCCGGTCTTGATGACTCTGATTGGTGTTAAGAAGAGTTGAAAATGATTTAGAATAATTTGAATGTACGTTATATGAAAACTGGATGCACGTTGTGCAATATTTTGGATGAAAGAGACACCCACAAATAACAATTATCCTCTTACGAGGCTCGATGTGTGAGATGAATCCAAGAATTCCGCCTTTTTACTAACCTTTTGTCCATACGAGGGTGTTAAGAACGAAACTAATCGTTTCACTTAGGAAAAAGGCAGAATTAGGCCCTATATAAGTTGACCCATTGGAAAGCGGTTTGGAAATGATAGACGATCACTTAACAATCAACTGGTTTTCTGGTTGCCAGATTCACCATGATATTTATCAGATCACTGTTGATTCGATTATACTTCCTAAAGAGGACGCTTTCGACGATGATGAGTTTAAGGTCGAAGCATCATCAGATGAATTAGCCCTTGAAGCTGGCGACTAAACGTGAAGATTGCAAAGCACAATTTGTTGGTTTGTTTTCGGGTATTTGAACAAAATTACCCAAGGGCTATCTGCGCTAGCTGTACCTACTTTCCAAATTTTGGTATATTCGAACGTGTATTTCGTAGTCTAATGAAATTTCCTTTAAGAAAACACCTTCAATTGTTTTGGCTTTAATCCAAACAATATACTTCATAGAAGCTCTCAAGCTATTATTTTTGATTTGATTTTTATTTGTTTGTGTGTTTTGGCATAAAACCACGCAATAGGCTATTTGCGCTCTGTCCAACACGGAGAACCGAAGCCCGGATTTTAGCGTTGTAAGTTTGTGAACCCACTGGGGGGGGGGGCATTAATTTGATTGTAATGTAAGTGCTGTAGCGCTTTCAGTGGTGTGTGGAAAACCAGTTGGAGTGTTATTTATTCCAGGTTTAGGCAAGCCCACAACCCGCGAATATGGAGAGCGTTGTTGTTTGTGGGGGGCTCCTCCAGAACATTTTGTAAATGCTATTCTGTGGTATTGTGAATCTTATTAGCATGTGCAAATGAACCAGATAGTGAAGAAAACGATGACGATGGTCATCAGCAAACTTGGTAGTGAGAAAAGAAGAGTTTTTATTTGATAAGTGAAATGGTTGCCATCGCAGGCCTTTGCCTTAAAGTTTGAATGCGATGCTCTGGTTGATTGTGACATATTTATGTACATCTAATTTCGTCATTTATATTTAAACAGTATTATTTTCTAATACATGTTTTTAATAAATTAATGAAATAAATTTATTTCTGAAATTTCAAGGGGGGGGGAGCAGATGTCCTCCTTGACCCATCTTGCGGACGCTCATGTCCTCACCCTAATATCGTAAAGTAAGTCGTTAGAGAGGAACTAAATTACACGTATAGAGTATGTTATTTAGGCAATAATTAGGAATTATACTACACATAGGTTCAAGTATTTGTTTTGTTTTTGTTTTGGAATTTCGCGCAAAGCTACACGAGGGCTATCTGCGCTAGCCGTCCCTAATTTAGC